ATAGACTCCGCAATAGTTTGAAGCTCGAGGCCAAGTCTGCCTCGTGCATGGAGAGCCAACGTCATCTCCAAGAAGTTCAGGTGTAAACCAGAGGAATGACTCGCCGGGACTCATGTTACGTAGCATGTACTTTGTCAGACAGATTGAGCCGCTGCAGAGAAAATGGAAGTGTTAGCTTTCCAAAGAACTTTGGTGGAAATGTTTATATGGGGGATCTTATCAGTGTAGTCCGAGTAGGGGAAGTTTGGGCAGTTTTGGCCACGGAACTTGATGTAATCTCGGTCATAGATTCTGCACAGGATAAACATTTTAGAAAAGAAAAAGAAAAAAAAAAAAGAATAGCAAACTAACCTGGCTCCGGCTTCCTCGGTGCTGCAGGAACCTAGATACGTTTCCTTGTTTTCCATCACCAAGAAAACGGTGACAAATCTAAAATCTTCCTTTTGAAGAAAAGGTAAATCTCACACCGCTGGATTCGCTTATAAAACGAGATTCCAACGTGTCTTTTTAGTGTATCTCCCAGCACATGTCTGGCGGCTTCCTCTTCCTGCTCGTTTCTTCTTGCCTGGACAACTAGAACTTTTGATGATGTTGGAGCTCGATCTGCCACTTGGAGGTCGCTTGGTCTTAGACCGAGTGGTCTCCACGGCGATCATTGGATGATCACCATCGCTCACCATCGCTTGAAGAGCCCGAGCTCCTCGGTTCCTCATCTTGATTCTTGGATACAGCAGCCGATGATGAAGACGCCTCTGTAAATTCAGGGCTTTGCGCTGCCACCGCTGGTGATGGCGGTGCTAGACGACGTCGCTTTGTTCTTAGCCCCCACGACGCTGCTGAAGCTACCGGGGGAATGTCAATGCGGCCGGATCATCAGCTGCTGCGGGTAGCTCTGGATGGTCAACTCAATCCATGGGCGAGATCAGCTTGAGAGATGGCGAGCTGGTGCCGTCCATGGAGAAGCTGAAGGTTTTCCCTTGCGTGCCGAAGGCCTGCGTCGCACGTTCTTGATAGTGCGATCTTGATCCGGGGCCGTGGGCGCGTCGCAGATCAAAGAATCTGGATCAACCCGGAATCCCTTTGCAAGTACCTCCAGCAACTCATTCGACTGGATGCGATGCATATGGGCCGACGGGCGGCGGCGATTGGGTTGCGGCGGGGCGGCAATGCCGGATGCATGCAGGTGCTACCCTGGACGATCTAACAGGATTGACGCGAGGCATGATCGAGCAGTACAAGTACAGGAGCAGTAGCTAACTAAGGGAAAACATTTCTTTTGCTTCCTATACTGATGACGAACCAGGGGATACTTTCTTCCTGGCTCGCTCTGATCATGTTTTTCAGCACTAGTTTCACTAAAGTACCGTATCAGAGCCGTCCGCGACGACCGCCTGTGAGATTAAATCGACAACTAAACAGCCTGACCAATAGGATTTCAGATTCTGAGAATCACTTCACCACTAGTACTACCAGCACGTGGAGTTAGACAACTTCCAGTGTCTTTCTGGATAAATTCACATTGTCCACACAGAAGTTAATTGTCATCTTGACTCAAAGATCTGTCACTGCCATGGACATTAACATTTTATGTTTAATAGAAGTGATTAATAATGTACAGACAGATTGCCGGATAAAAGAACCCTTAAATTGCATAGCCCCCAAAGACAAATCAAAAGCCACTTCACCAAAAAACAGAGTAGAGGAGAGAACTAATTGGAGAGAGGAGCAATACGAGTTCTCACAGGCTTGTGGCTTTGGTTGTTAAACTCAACCAAGCACAATAACCTCGCATGATGGATTTAGTGCACTGCATGAATTCAAGAGAGTTCATGGGTCCAGACATAATTTTTGAAAGCTATGATGGTCATAAGGTCTTGTGTCCCAAGAGACTGGTGTACGAGCAAAAACTCCAGATGCCGCATATGCTACAGGCATTGAAGTCCACACGTGTAGAAATCTGTCTGCATAGAATCTTCAAGTTCTTGGGCTTTATACAAATTTCTATGGTGTATATAACCATCAAGCTTCCTAGGAGACAATGTCTCTTTGTGGCATGAAATCACATAGCCTTTCTGTCTCCTCTGGCTTTGAATGCAATGCGTCAGGGGAAGGGAATACCTAGGGGCAAGTGGAAATAGAAGAGTATAAAGCTGGATTTGGCTTCCATGTGGGTGAGGCAGGCAGCTTTGGTTCAGGGAGATTTTGTTTGCTTCACCAAATCACAAATTTGTTCATCAGTATTTTAAGGTGGTGGACAGTGATCTATATCAAGCCAATGCATATCCAACATTGTCTGCTCCTAAACCGTCTGTCAGAGTAAGAAGAAGAAATTACTTTATGAATCTTTACAAGCAGGAGTGATGATCACTGATCTAGCTCAAACCATTAATGCAGTTGCTAATGCAGCCTTAGAGGGCACTTCCAGCACCCATACAGATGGAGTTAGACAACTAAGAAGTACTTGTTTTTCTGGATAACTCTCACACTGCTTTCACAACAGTTAATTTGTCATTCCCTCCAGATGGTCAAGCTGGTGTGGCCACTGAGATATGTGAGCCTTAAGGCAAAACAAAGATGTGTGGCATGTATGAAACTCAGAAGAGCTCAGTTAGGAATATGTGCAGGCTGCATGAGAGAGCTAATCCAAATCCATTTCATACTTATGGATATCCAAGGACAAACCCGAAAAGGGAGCAGGAACACATTACTCCTATTACTACTTGTGCAGATGGAGTGCTCAACCAAGCACAATAACGCCTCATGTTAAAACTCGTTCTGATTTGCAACATAGAGGCTCATGTGGCAAAAAGGAATTGATGATGTGGCAAGACAGCATGGCCAAGCCAAAGAAATCTGTAAGTATGAAAACATGTTCTTTGTCTGCTCAATGCAAAGCCCTAGCTGTGTGCCTAAAATGTGGAAGTATGAGGATGATTCAAGGCATCATCACTAGATTGCTGTTTGGGATAGGATTGGGAAGTAGCCTCAATAGCAAAAAAATCGAAAGCAGTGTGGTAGTGGCAGGGTGACCAAGGCAAAGATCTTTATCCCTGAGCACCGAGGAGATGATCTGGCTGCGCAGTGAGGCATGCTCAAGCTGGTAGCAAGGCTGACGCAGATGGAGTGCTATTTGCCAGCACTGGCAACCTCTACTAGGAGCTGGAGATCCTACAAAAGGTGGTGTGCCAGAGCCACGAGGACAAACATGCATGAGGGATCATAGCAATACCATAGAGAGGCTTTTATACTTAGGAATTCTTTTTAGTTCATACTGTCTCCCCACATCATCCATTCCTTTTTCCCACGTGGGCCTCCATGTTGCAAATCAGAACTAAGTCAACCAACCTTCCATGGTAGAGTTCTCTTGTACACACCACACATTTTATTGCACTGTAACATAGAATTTCTCTGCTCATTTTGCATGATTATGATGTTTATAGAGTCTATGCTAAAACCTTTATGGAAACCCCTTATTTAAAAGAACATTTACCATGTTAGCATTCATTATCATTTATACTTTCTATTAAGTTTCAATTAGATCACGTAATTTAATCAAATGAGTTATTCAAGCTTAAACACTAAGTCTCTCCAAAGTTGGTCATGATATTATAAACTAAGATTTATAAAGCTTTTTGCCACAAAAATATGAATATCACTATAAGCAAAGTGTAGTATATATGATTATAAAATGAGATTTGAATATACTCTCACTAAAAATGTTTAGAACCTTGAGAATAAATTGTGATAAAATAGCCATTAAGAGTTTTTTCATCAAATAACGACCCTTTTTTCAATTGGGCTAATAGGAGAAAGATATGATGTATTACATGTAGTATTAGAGCAAATGGCATGAATATAAAGTAAAATCATATTTATTAAACATCCATAAGTGCATTCTTCATCCATAAATGCACAATAGAATTGTGGTACAGATGAATGATTAATTACCTCATAGGGAATCTTCTCTTAATTGTTCAATTACCAAATGGTGTTTTTCAGCACTAGGGCACTTTCAAATTGTGTTTACCTTTGAAAAATTGTCACCAGTGTTTGCCAAAAAAACAGCACTATTTTGAAGTTTTGGATCATTGATCAAAATTAGGGTTGGGCCAATAATATCCTCAGAAAAATAATGAATATTCTAAGAATATACACTGCCAGATAGATTCAATTGAGAGAGAGTTTTTTCTGCCTTAAGGCTCACATATCTCTCTTGGAGCCCAGAAAGACCAGTACTTCCCAGTTGTCTAACTCCAAGTGTACAGATACTGCCTCTGTCTCTGAAATACACCAACAATCAGAGTAACGAGGGCTCCATTAGCAAGTGCTAATGATTTGAGGTAGATCGACTGATCCTCAATCCAGCTTTATACCCAGCTACAAATGCTTTAATTTCCACTTTTGCTGCTAGGCATTCCCTTGCTCTGGTGCCTCACATTCAAAGCCAGACGAGGGATGCTTATACACCATGCCGATTTGCAAGATTCTATGGTGTTATGAAAATCTCACGTCCCCGGTGTGCGATCTATGTCTCGCACACGGCATGAGATCTATAACTTTCGAACGTTACGTCTGGGCCCATGAAAGCAACAAGATCAGCTCCCTTGTGAATGAATTGCAGACCCAGGCATATTTCCCTGCTTACTTTGATGACTATAAGTTTGCAAGTTTGGTCTTGCACTAGTCCGAGAAGATGCTGGACCGAAAAACCAATGTTGGGGCCGATGCAATCCGCGGCTCTTTTTGGGGATTGCTGGGATAGCAATTAGTGTACACTTTGGACGGGAACCTGGTGGCCGGATATCCATATCGGAGATCACCACAAAGTTGGCCGCTCGCCAAAGTTGTGCACACTCGACAGGAAGTGTGCTTCACGTGTCCCAAGTGGCTGCACGCCGAGGCTTGCAAGCGTCACAGCATCGGTGGAACTAAAGAGCGAGAGTGCCTGCTTGCTATGCCCGTGCTGGGCATAAAAGAGATCATACGACGACGACGATATCTTTGCAAAGAAAGCACTCTTGAGCTTATGGAGTACATGGCAATCCGCCCAGCGCCGAGCAGACGTGGTGCTGTCGATCGGCTGGATGGATCTGGGGAGCATCTCCCTGTACACTGCAAGCGCGAGACAAGAAGAGATTCCTCTCCGTCTTGTCGAAGACGGACCTGGCCTCGTGGAGGAGAGGGGCGTAATCGGACGCAATTGGGTAGCTCTCCTGGCTGGAGATTCGCACCACTGCTCTCTCCAGATCTAAGACATGATTCCCGAGAAATGCAGAGCTCAATGGAATATCACTACATTCACCAAAGAGCATCACCTTTTATTATCTTTTGTTTTGGTGGAACGATTCTTTCTTTGTTATTGGCTTGGCTCGGGCTGGAGAACCTCTTGCAAGCACCATTTCCTGTAACCATCGAAAAGTTGGTCCAGGAAAATGGGAACAAGTCTGTCCACCATGGCCTGAAGAACTCTGGAAAAAATCACAGACACGTAGATTTAGTCTGAAATCTTTGCATGAGAAGAGGATAGCTTACATGCTACCGGGAGTTTCCACGGCTTGCAATGGAAGAAGCGTGAAGGGCAGCGTATACACCTGAAAGAAACACAGAGAGTTAGATCAATGGAGAATATCATCAAGCGCACCTCGAGAGACACATTAAGCTCTACATTGACATTCAGCTGCTTTTCCAAGCCCCAAGTTAAATGGTTGATCATCGAAGCTGCAAAAACCCACACATAAAGACAAACTTTCCTTCAGTCCATAGGAGCTAGTAGCTACGCATACAAACCTGAGAAATGCTGGTTCTGCTTCTCAACAAGCTCCGAGCCTTCAAACTAGACAAAACAAATTCACAAATGTCAGGCCCAAACTTGCGAAGAGAAACGAAAAGAAAAAAGAAAAAAAACTTTGGCCTCAACTTTGCAAGAGAGAAGCTTAACCAAGCACTCGTCGTCCTTAACGTCGATGGACAAATCCACGATCGGAGCAACCTCGAACTTGAGAATGTCGAGCTTTGGCAAGCAGCATCTGATCGAGAAAACAAAAAGAACAAAAACAACTTGAGAGCTATTCATGAATATGGATAGCAAACCTGTAGGTGGTGTCGTCGAGTTTCTGATAGCTTTGTAAAGCATTAGTGTTGATGAGTATTTGCATTCCAGCGGGCTCCGAGAGAAACTGATTGAGCCTGGACGAATCTTGGAACGGGACCGTCAAACACCGCTTCGCAGCAAGCTTTGCATTTCGAACCTTCCCATCGGCTGCTCGCATGATGAAGACATTTCTTCTCTGTCGCTAAAACACACAGTGAAAAGAGTAGAAAAAGATGAAACAGAAAAAGTCCACTCCATCCCTTGCCAGCAAAGACGAAAGACGAAAACGTACCAGTGATGAGTAGAAGAATCCGAAAGCTGGAGCTGGAGCTGGAAGCCACAATTTGGTCGCCGCCATTGGTGTGGGTTGCTGCTCAATTAGCCTCTTTCTTCATAGATTCATCACTTTGGCACTCTCCTCGAACCTCAAGCTTTTAAGCGACGAAAGTATAGGGCGTGCCCGTTATGCTAATCCTTGTGTACTGAGCAACTGAGGCCATTTGCTTCATAGTGGAGGATATGGAACTCATATTCTTCTTGGAACAGTCCTCGAAAATCATAGCTTCCGAGGTTCTCCACTACAAAAAGGTAGAGGCAAACGCAATTTTAAGCGTTGCTTCACAAGTAGAAAGAGTACACCTGTTAGCATACCTCGAGTCGCGAGTGGAATGCGGACTTTTTAAGAGAACTGGGAGCTGCCATGCCAAGGAACAAAGACGATAAGAAACAAAGAAGAGAAAAAAAACGTCAGTCAAGATTCCAGGCACGAAATATTCATTTTACCTCTTTGTTCCGTGGCAGCAACCACATGTCGACTTGAAATCAAGCCACATTTCTGTCAACTTGAAGCACCAAGTGTTGTCCACCACCATTTTCGAGCGTCGGAGATTCCGGTTCCACTCCAAAGTTCCTGGAAGGGATCGTCCCAGTGGAACTGCTGCCAGGCGGGATCACACTCCCCCGACAAACCGGACACGACTTGTGCGAGACGAGCCAAAGGTCGATGCAGTCGGGATGGAAGAAATGGTTGCACCAAGGAAGAAGTCGGACCTCCTCGCCGGTGATGGCTTTAAACTCGCACAAGCAGACGCTACACTTGTCCGCATTGCCCATCTTCCTCTCCGCCATCAACTTTTGGTAGTCCATCAGCACTGTAAACTTCTCGATCGAGTCGAGACCCAAACCGAGATCTTCTTTCTTGAGACGACGATCACTTCCTTCACGTAGATCTGTCGTCATTGTCTCCACAGCCTCCTGGCCATCCTCTACCGAAGTCTCAAAAGCGTTGTCCAGCTGATCGTTCGAGTTTGGCGACGAGCCAGTGCAGTGGCGGCATACCGAGAGACGAAACGCCATGAAAACCATGACCGAGGAAGCCGTGACGAGCATAGCTGCTAGCACATTGACGCCACCATTGCCCCTGGAAGCCAGACTAGTTGCATTTGATCTCTTGGACGAAGAATCATCGAGCTCGGGAGCCACCGGAGATCCATCAAACTTGACATGTGGTTTCTCGTCGCCTCCAAGGCGCTGGAACTCACCATGGCTGTGATAAATAGCAGCTAGAACCAGAAAAATCAGCCACGAAGAAACCATCACCGGAGATCCCATATCCCTGTGTCCATACGAGGAAGAAGAAGAGCTACTTCTCCTTCCGGAAGATAAAACAGGAGAGTCCTCTCCTCCTCAGTCCTGTGTACTTGCTTCTCAAGACTACGGCTGTCTTAGAGCACCGATCACCGCACCTCCTCGGCTAAATACCCACCAGGATGATTGATTGGTTGATTTTTCTCCTTTCCTTCTTTTCCGCTGGTGGAAGATCTTCCTTCAAGTCCACGGCCGCTGCTGATGAAAAGCGAAAATCCCACCAAAATCCATGCCTTGATCTTTCCAGAAGAATTTTCTTGCCGGACGGGCCCCTCTCCTTCTCGGAATTTCTAAGCACACGCCGCTGGAGCCAATTTTTGTGACTGCGTGTATGAGCACCAGATCTTCCATTCGGGACCCATGCCTGATCGAGCAGTGCGCACCTCAGATAAAAAGGACGATTTGAAACCATTATCGTACCATGTCTTTGTGCTTGTTGACTGCGTCTTTCCAAAATATCCTGTCCGGCGCACCAGCGAAATTGCTACACGTCTTTCATGATCGCCTGAAAAACATTAAAGAATGTTTAAAAGCGTGAGCACAAACAAGATGCAAACTCTAACGAGGAAAAACTTACCTGGAAACCATCATCGATATGAATGATCCATCCCCGGTAAGCTGCTAACTCACGGTTCTCCGTTCTAGTGGAACTTTGTCACGATTTTCATAGAGCGAATTGGCCATCAGCATGTAGCTTGCAGCGTCGCTCTCGTCCATCTCCACGATGGCATCAAACGCAAGCCTTGCCACTGCCTCGTTCTTCCACTTGTGACACGCGCTCATCACTGTTCTCCAAGTTACTGCATTGGGCTTGTGAGGCATGCACGTCACCATCGCCACTGCCTCTTCCAGCAGGTTTGCTCGGCCCAGAATATCGATCACGGAGTGGTAATGCTCAATCCCGGGAGTAATCCCAAACCTGGAGCTCGACATGGCGTCAAAGTAGCTCCTTCCTTTGCTGACGAGCCCACCATGGTTGCAGGCCGTAAGAACAGCGAGGAAAGTCACGGAGTTTGGTTGCAAGCCTTCTTCCAGCATCTGAGAAAAGAGCTCGAAAACCTGGGTGGTGAATCCCTGGCGGCTATATCCCGTCGAGAGAGCGTTCCAGCAAACCAGGTCTCTCTCCGCGATGCCGTCAAAAACTCGCTGAGCGTCGTCCATGCTTCCACACTTGCTGTATAAGTCGATGAGTGAGGTGGTGACGAGCGAGTCCTGCTCGAGCCCGCCTTTGCAAATGCTTCCATGGATCGTTCTCCCGAGCTCCAACGTTACTCCACAGCAGGCCTTGAGCGCTGCCACGAAAACTAGTGCCGAAGGTGTAAATCCCTCGTCTTGCATGCGTGACAACGTTTTGAGAGCCAGCGTCGCGTTCCCAGTCTCGACGTATCCCAGAACCAGTGCCCCCCAAGAAACCACACTCCGGCTCGTCATCCTGTCGAAAACATCCCGAGCATCACTCGTGCTCCCACACTTGGCATACAAATCCACCAGAGTGTTTGCGAGAAAAATATCCGACTCGTAGCCAAGCTTTGCTGCTCGAGCGTGGAGTTCCCGACTCTTCTCTAGGCACGCCATCTTTTCCTTGCCAACTTGCTTCGCAGCTATGGAACTCATGGCTTTGAGCGCAGCAACAAAACTTCGAGCGTTCACCAGAGAGCCCGGCATTGCCGAGAAAACTTCCAGAGCTAGCTCGGCTTCCCCGTTCTCCGCCAGCCCGAGAACCAATGCATTCCACAGCACCGCGTTGTGACACCGTGTTCTATCCAAGACCATCCTGGAATCCAGCACGCTTCCACAGTTTGCGTAGAAATCCACCAGCGCTCCAGCTACAAAGATATCGTCTTGGACGTAGCCCCTTCTCGCGGCTCGCGAATGGACTTCCATGCCTCTTTTCAGCGACTCGATCTTCACAGGCCTGCTGGTGACAAGCTTGCCGGATTCTTTGACTGCCAGATTCGAGCACGCCTTGACAGCAGCTACAAAAGTCTGAGAGTTGGGCGTCCACTCCTCCATTTGCGAGAAAAGATCCAGCGCTTGTTCTTCCTCGCCATTCTCGGCAAAACCCAATACCAGAGCCGACCAGGAAACCACGTCTAGACGATCCATGCCTTGGAACACCCTGTAAGCATCGGCCATACTCCCGCATTTCCCATACATGCTGATCAAAGTGTTCGCCAAGAAAACGTTGGAATCATCGCCGGCTTGCACGGCATCAGCGTGGATCATCCTTCCAGAATCCAAATCCCTGGCTCCGCCACAGCCTCTCAAAGCACTGAGATAGATCGTGAGAGCGTCCTGGTGCTGGGAAGGGGCAGAAATCCCCTGAATCTGGGCAAAGCGGAAGCCCACTGCGGCACTAACCTGGCAGCCCGACCTTGCACAGAGCGCACATCTCCTTCTCATTCACATTTCCAAGACCTCGCGAAGAACCCTAAAAGTAAACCCTATTAATTTGAAATTCCCGCGCTTGATTTATGAATTTTTGAAAGAGGGCTCCATTAGAACAATGCTGCAAGATGCTAGTAGCCACTCGAGATCAATGTGTTGAGGTCATACGATCGAGCAAGAACCTCTCGGATGTAAGATTTGCTCATAGGTGCGCCTCTTTCTTGTCGCTTGATCTAGGATCGGATGTGTTTCTGTGCAATCTTCTTATCCAGATGTATGGGAAATTCGGCAGTGTGGAGTGCTCAAGGCAGGTGTTTGACAGCATCGATCGAAAGGATTTCTACTCGTGGAATCTATTACTGGGAGCTTATGCCAGAAACTGCTGCGTTGCAGAAGCCAAGGCCATCTTCGATGCGATGCCCAAGAGGAATTTGGTGTCGTGGACAACGTTGCTGGATTTGTTTGCGGAGAATGGTCTTTTGGAGGAGGCGAAGATCGTATTTGAAAGAATCCCTGCTTGGGATGTTGTGGCCTGGACTTCGATGCTTGTGGCATATGCCCAAAATGGGCATCTAGAAGAGACTGAATCTCTGTTTTCATCAATGAAAGAGAAGAATTTGGTTTCTTGGAATGCAATGCTAACATCTTATAGTGCATACGGAAATATTCAAAGAGTTAAAGATATTTTTGATATGGCTCCTGAGTGGGATCTCGTGTCATGGACTGCAATATTAAGTGCATATGCCCAAAATGGGCATGTTGATAGCGCTTTGAAGATCTTTGATACAATGCCTGTTAAAGATACCATTGCTTTTACAGCCATGCTGGCTGCGTATGCAAGCAGCGGCATGGTCGATCAAACGGTTTCTATGTTCAAATCAATGCCGTATTGGAACATTGTTGCTTGGAATGTCATGCTTTCTGCCTATGCCCAACATGGGCATATGAAACATGCCGAGCAAATTTTCAGTCTCATGCCAGAGCAAGATATTATCTCCCTTAATGGGCTCTTGTGTGGCTACGCGAGAGAGAGGAACTTCGCCAAAGCAAAATCTTTGTTTGATAGTATTCCAAGCAAAGATTTGGTTTCATGGAATGCGATGCTGGCTGCTTATTGTTATGGCAGCCAGCTGAAATTTGCCACAATGTTCTTTGCTTCAATGCCGGACAGGGATGTTGTCTCGTGGAACGTTTTGCTCACTGCCTTCTCTCAGCATGGCTTGCTTGAGGACACAAGAACAGCGCTAGATTTTGTGCCAGATCAAGACTTAGCTTCCTCATCAGTGATGCTTGCTGCATATGGAAACAGTGGAAAGGTGGAATTTGCCAAGCAATATTTTCACGAAATGCCACTAAGAGATGCTGCATGCTGGAACTCCCTTCTTGCAGCATACACTCACTCTGGTGATTTGGTAAATGCGAAAACTGTGTTTGATCGGCTGCCTCACAGAAATCTAATCTCCTGGAATGCTATGCTTTCTGCTTGCTCTTCTTATGAGGAGCTAAAGCGGTTAAAAAAACCATCAAAGTCTTCTGCTACTCATACCTCTTCAAGATACATTGTTTGGCTCTTTCAAAAGATGATCATGGATGGATTGATGCCAGATGATATCTCCTTTGTCTCCATTCTAAATGGATATGGACATGAAGGCAATGTTAAAATAGGATGGTGGTACTTCCAGAGGATGTTGCCTGATTTTTTCTTGGAGCCAACAAAGCAGCACTACACTTGTGTAATTGACCTTCTGGGACGGGCAGGCCACTTGGTAGATGCCCACAATCTAATTTACAGCATGCCTTTTGATCCAGATACCACAGACTGGACCTCACTCCTTGGATCCTGTTCAAGCCACAAAAAGAATGAGCAATTTGGGGCAAATGTTGCAGAGCTAGCTTTAGAGCTAGATCCTACAAGAGCTGCTCCATACTCTCTACTTGCCAACTTCTACTCATAAAGAATAAAATTTGTAGTTCAAACTGGTCAGAATATATAGTGTATTTAAAATTTAGGATGTGAAATAATTCTTAAAACATTTTCATTATTATTACAAATTTCAAGGGTTATAAGAAAAAATTATAATTAATAAATGCTTGATAAGGTGTTCTCCTAAGATTTTGTCTTTAATTATTATATTATGGATTGTGAAAAATATATTTTTATTAATTACTTTTTAACTCATAAAGTTAAAATATAAAAATCTCTGATTATTCTTGTATAATCTTAAATAAAATATGGTGATGCTTAAATTCATATTTGAGTTATTGTAGCAATTGTAAACTTTTGTTAAGTGGAAAGATTAAATAAAAACAATTATTATAATACTTGAATATAATCTATTTAATATTATATCTGTGAGTGCTCTAGATATAGAAATAAGTATATTAATTAGGGTTTAAACCCATGCTTATATACAAGAATGGATGGATAAGATTCAGCCCTAAATAAATAGTTCATATGCTCTAGTATTATAATTAATGTACTACTTAGTCAGGGTAATATATATATATATATATATATATATATATATATATATATATATATATATATATATATATATATATATATCTGTGTGTGTGTGTGTGTGTGTGTATTTTCAAACTTTACATCATTCTCCCCTTTGGAAGATGAAAAGGTAATGATAATAAGTCAAGTGAAATATCTAGAGCTTTTGGTGGGTGATAATAAATTACCATAAAATTCTAAAACTCCCACAAAACCACTAATAAAGTTGTTAACAACCATGATTAAAACAAAATCCAAAGCAATGACATAAGCATTAATTAATTATGAAATTCTAATAAACCAATTGCAACTTCATATATAACTACCAAATAATCAAACTAACCATAAAGCTATAACTTTAAACCAAAACAAATGATTTTAAGAGTTATTGTAGATTTATAAAGCACCATTGCAACAAACAATGCATCTTATGTCTAAGTCTATTTGTTGGACAATCCTCCAGAACCATTATTAACTTAGATTCATGACCATAAATAAAACTTATTGCATCTTCCTTTTGGTCAACATTTAAAATTCATATTTACTCAGACTCACAATTATCATCCTTATTCTGCATTGCATATGAGAAGTTAGACTCACTCCATTTATTCTCCACATCCTCTTTATCCCCTTCTTAGAGGAAAAAAAGTTTTGAAACACTAGCTTTATTCAGATTTGTTATGATCACTTTCATTTTATATTTAGCCTCATTTTATTATTGCATTTGCTTGGCCTCACTATGTCAAAGCTAAATATTCCATTTAGACTCATCTATTTTATCCTTAGTCCACAATCCATGTCATTTTTCCTCACTTTACTATTGTATCTACTTGTTTTTATTCTATCATCAACACTAGACTCCTATTTGTCCCCTTTACCCCACCTCTAAGGAAAAAAAAGTTTGAAATATTGAGGAAAAAGGGAGAAAATGAAAAAAAGGGAGGAAAAAGCATTGTGAAAGAAGAAAAAGTGGATAAAAAAACATCTAAAAAGGAATTTTCAACAATTGTTAAAGTAGAAATGGGGAGAAAAGAAGGAAACATATTCAAAGTTTGAAGAATAAAGGATTTACTATGATAAAATACTTTGGTTAGCAGAAGATAAGTGGGAGCTCCACACTGCTCAACTTACTTAATACATAATTTAACACTTGAGACAAGAAAATTAATAGAAAAGTTTACATTCTCAAAGGAACATATAAACCCCTTAGTAACAATGATAAAACAAAAGTTTTCAATAGTACTCACAACTGAAAACACACATTTAATCAGAAGCTCTAGCCAAAATGATTTAACCTTTAGAATAGGGGAATATTTAATACTAGAATTGATCAAAGACTCTGTTAAAGAAACAAAAATAAGATTTTTAGCTTTATGTATATACTTAACATCCAAATTAGTATGAGAAAGATAGAAAACACTCAACTCAACACCAAATTGAGAATAAAAATTATAAGAGCCAGAAATAATTAATATGCCAGAAGAAGGAAATATTGCAAATAAAGAAAGAACACTAAGAACATGAGAAGGTAGCTTAGATTAAAAAATAAAAATAAAAATTAGGAAAGAGCAGAAGGTAAAGAAAAAGGATCAGATAGCAGATTAAAGGATTAAGACTTACCTTGCAAAATCTCCAACTCATCTATAAAGTTATCTCTATAATAATCAAGTTTCTCATTACAATCCAAAATTCATTTGTGCTCATAAACATTATCTTCCCATAAACTTGATCCTCAAACATTCTCTAAAAATTAGATTATATCATTCATAACTCATCAATCGATATTACAATCACACTCCATATCAACTAGAAATAATAGAACACCGAGAACAAAACAAATTGTATAATCAAATCTCATGGAAGTTGGAAATGGCAACACACCAAGGATGGGTGCAACATTAATATAATCACACCCTATAACACAAAAAACTCGATCCAACAGAGTAGCATTAACAAGCTCAAATGACATATTCCTTGATCGATGATGGCGCAGTATAATAGAAGAAAAGAATGCAATGATGATAAGAAGAAAGAGTAGATTTAAACACAGCAATAGTTAAAATTCTAGATCTTGCAAAAAGTTAATACAGATCTAGATTTAAAAGAGAATAAAGAAATAAAAAACAAAAAACACAATCCCAAACACTAGAGTAAAGCATTGCAAAAAAACTTTACCCTTCAAGAACAAATTGTAGTGCCTCTTAGCTCCACTAATGTGAGTGTTTGAGATATAGAAATGGGCATATTAATTGGGGTTTATACCCTTACTTATATACAAAAATGGATAGACTAAATTCATTCCCAAATAAATAGTTTGTATGTTATAGTACTACAATTAATGTATTACCTAGCCAGGTAATATATATAAATATAAACATGTATTTACAAACCTTATATAGAATATTTAGTTGCATTCTAAAATAATATATATGAAGTTATGCTTGGATATTAATAAAATCTGTATCACATATGGGGAATACATAGAAAAATTCGAAATACTACATTGTTATATGCAAAACAATTCCCACCCAAAATTTAGCCAAGTGACCAATTTCACCTTGTCTTAAAGAAAATAAAATTTTAGGAAAATGAGGCCTTGGGGAATTAAAAGTGCAAGTGTGAGTAATAATTATTGCACTTGGACCCAAAGTGATTATACTAAGCTCAAAAGCACCTATACAAAGTTCAAAGATGCAACATCAAACTTAAAATATAGTTAAAATTTAAGTTTCTTGTATTTTTTGAAACTCTAAGGAAATTTCCTTCTTTGGCATTTTTCTCAATCAAGAATTCATATCTTTTCTTAAGCTAGAATGTTGGCAATGTCATGGTGAGTTCGTGCATTCAAGTTAAATTTTATGTTTTATAAGAAAACTCGAAGTATAGACTTAGTTAAAACTCCTTATAAATAAATATTTGAAATTTATGATTGTGATTTTAGAAGTAAGTATTATGTAGTTTATGAAACATTCACTTTCTTAACAAGTTATTACTACTACCAAAATGTTTTCTGAATAAACAATATGAGGTTCAGTTTGAAGTTTGTAGTTTTGCATAATTTGTTCTCTTTTTATATTTCAATTGGCTTTGGTTCTTTTATTATCAATAACAACTTCTCAATAATAGAGGATCTTGCTATAAGCCATGTCAATAAACTTTGAAACTCTTAAATCTATATTAGTAGAAGTGATTTATATGATTTCAAGAGGAAAAAATCAAAGTTAGGAAGGGGGGGATATAAATTTTTTCTTACTATAGCCACTTAAACGAAAATAATCACTCTCAACAACATAAATAATCAAAAGTATCAAAAGGGTGATGCTATAAAAAAGTGCAAGGGGATTCAATAATACTCTTACAAGCACAATACTATATCTATGGGTGATGTTATAGAAAAGTGCAAGAGGATTCAACAATACTATTACGAGCACAAATTTTACCATCACTATCTCCAAGTGCAAGAAGAAATAAGAGGATATGAAAAATGATTATATTAAGAACTTGGATATTCTAAGTTTTAAAGCTACTTAAAGCCATAAAATAGGATTCTAAATTACAAGTTCACATACCTCCATTACAATTTGAAATTGTCAAAAATCTAAGATTATTACTTTCTCACTATAAGTCCACTATCCAACCTGACCACATCATTTTCTATTCTACAAACCACTAAATTTAATTGGCTATGGTTTTTTAGAGTTAAGAGATATGACACTAAACTTGGAATCTAATTAGTGACCTTTAAATGGAATTCTTAGAGAGGTCATATAGACCTGAACTCAACTTATTGTTGATGATCATAACATTAGTATAGATTAGTCTTAGCTAACATGCAGAAGGAGGGAAACATTCTTTAGTTATGTTTATGTACATACATGTAAAGATAATTGAAAAGAAAGGCATAAATATAATTTGTTTTTGTAATAATAAGTTAAATAATTTAATTTTTATTATTAACTAGATTATTATTATTTTAAAATTATATATCTTTTAATATTTTTAGAAATAATTATTTTTGTGTAAAGAAAAGGAATCAAATCCACATGATCTTTATTAAAAAATAAGTAAATAACTTAGTAAATAAGTTTATATTATTCTATTATTAAATTATTCTTACTGCATTGCTTTTTTTAAAAATATGTGTTGCATCAGGTTTTCCAAATAATTTTTTTAATTTTAAAATTTTTTAATTTATATTTTATCATAGATAATATCTAGTGAGTTTAAAACTCACATGTGAAAAACTTTTTATTATAGCATTCTGAAATTTCTCCATTGCATTAATATTAAAATATTAATTAAATTAAATTTTCAGATTTTAATTAATTTCTATCATGGAATTAAAAAGCATTGAATCTAATTATATACCAAAGTATAATAAAATCTATTTATATTTTGAAATTGTATAAAATGTTTTGCCTCACTTATTCAAATTTGGTATTTTCTTACCACCATAATATTATTCATAATTTCTCCATTTCT